GAGTGTTCATTACCTGTGAATGTAAGTCTTGTCTGAGAAACCTTACACCTGACCGTACAACAGGTGAACGTGTAATAGTTGTGCGCGTTAATACATCGTGGGTTTGCGTGGCATGCGATTAACGAACTCGATCATACATCGTGTGAACGTGTAATAGTTGTGCGCGTTAATACATCGTGGGTTTGCGTGGCATGCGATTAACGAACCCAATCATACATCGTGTGAACGTGTAATAGTTGTGCGCGTTAATACATCGTGGGTTTGCGTGGCATGCGATTAACGAACCCAATCATACATCGTGTGAACGTGTAATAGTTGCGTGTGTTAACACATCGTGGGTTTTCGTGGCAGGCGATCAACGAACCCGATCATACATCGTGTGAACGTGTAATAGTTGCGTGTGTTAACACATCGTGGGTTTTCGTGGCAGGCGATCAACGAACCCGATCATACATCGTGTGAACGTGTAATAGTTGCGTGTGTTAACACATCGTGGGTTTGCATGGCAGGCGATCAACGAACCCGATCCGAACGTGCGTGACGCATCAGCCGAATGTCTGGGAACAGCACTGAAGGTCGTCGGTGAGAAGGGCATGGGACCGTTCATCGCAGAGGTGGACAAACTAAAGCAGGACAAGGTGCGTGAACGTCGCCACGACTACAACCACTACCGTGCACAGTAGCGAGATGTACTAGATGTAGAATCGTGTACTAGTAATACTTATTGTACTATATAATAATAATGATAATATAAAAACAACGATATTTACTCTATTGATAATACTTGCTGTAATAGTGATTAATTATAATTACTGGAATTATGTTTAGGTTATGTTAGAATAATTGTTAGTAATTACTGGAAGCGCTGTATTACACGCGTCTGTCGTTCGCAAGTGGTCGTAGTTGTCATTGAGATTGTAGAACGATGAGTGTCTGTAAATTGCGTTGTTGCCCCTGCAGATAAAAGAGTGTTGTGAGAAGTCTGTCTTGTTGAATGCCAATGGACAGCCCCGCGGAGGGGCAACCTCATCATCAGCCACGTCAGCTCCGGCTAAGAAAGTCACTATTCAAGAGCCGCCGCCAGCTGCAGCAATGAAGAAGCCTGCTCCGGGAAAGGTGAGCCTTCTATGTGGATGATTCCGGTGGCCTCATTACCAGCCTTTCTATTTTGCGTGAGAGTCCCGAGTTAGGTGAGTCGATACGTATTGTTTTTTGGGGAGAACTCACGTTTATTTCTCGGAAATTTCAGCGACCGGCTCCTACGAAGAAAAAGCCACCGGCGAGTCGAGCGAAGAAAGCCGGAGGCAAGCCTCCTCCGGCAGAGAAACCAGATATAGTAGAGCGTGAAATGAGCGTGAGTATCACCATTGTAGAGTAGTTCGCCGAGTCGCCCTGGGCGATGCTTGCAATCAAATACACTCTGTCCGTCCGATTTTGATCAAGGGGGGATTAGGTGTGTACTGCGTTCGGATTGAAACTGTGTATTTAATTGGGGTGAGTTTCTCCTTTAGTGCCTAGCTGTTACAACACTACATCAAACAGCTGGAGTAAACTCAGTGATGACGGTCTTTGCTCGGTAAACCGCTGAACGTTAAATGAATCTCGGAAGTAAATCTTTCCTCTGCCGCGATTCTGTGTTTTCCATTACACACGGTTGAAACAAGTTTAAAGCAATGGACTGATTCGTGGTTGCGGTGGTGGATTCGAACTGCATTAGACAAACCTCCAGTCGAAATTGTTTCCAGTATTTGGTTTATCAGAACCTGGGTGAGCACGCCTGTGAAATGACCTTGATAGGGCCGTGTCTTGAGGAAGGTATCACTGTTTCCAGGTGGAAGAGATTGAGGAGAAAGCAGCCGAGATCCTACCAGCACAGGTTCTTCCTGGACTCGCCAGCTCCAACTGGAAAGAGCGACTGGCTGCTATGGAGGCCTTCACAGAGGTACAACAACCTTCCGTCTGTTTCATGTCTCATCTTGTATGAACTGCATTTCAATCCCACGTATATTATATTATAAAATATAACGATATATATCGCATAACGTATAAGCTCGTTGAAGAATGCTATTAATGTTTTGTATTCACTGTATTTTAATCACGCCTACTACATACTATAAGACCTGACGCAGTCGAGTCCGGTTGAAGAAAACTGACGGCGACTGGCCGTCGACTGTCACGGAATCACACGACGCATTCTAAACCTCTACTATTATTTTCTAAACCTTGCCTGTCATCCCGTTGCAGTTATTTTTATTTTTCTATTATATTCTTATTTTTTTATTTCTTATTTTTTATTATTAAACCTCGCCTCTCGCGCTTTTGCAGACGGTGAAGCGTACGGAGAACTGGGACGCGGCATGCCAGGTGTGCGTCGGCGTGCTGTGCGTGCGCAAGCCCGGCCTTCGCGACTCCAACTTCCAGGTGGAGAAGCTGAAGCTGGAACTGCTGGCGCTTCTCGCAGCCTCCGGCCGCTTCAGCCGCCGCTCGGTCGACCTAGCTCTTCACGACGCTGTCGACCGCGTCGGCGACGGAAAGAGCGGCGCGGCGGCCGGCACGGCGCTGACGGCGATGGCAGAGGCGACGTCGCTCGGGTATCTCGCGGAGAATGTCGTTGGGTACGCGTTCACGCAGAAGAACCCGAAGAACCAGGCCGAGTCGCTGAACTGGCTCGCGCAGGCCATCAAGGAGTTCGGCTTCCAGTGAGTGATCCTCCGTGCCCACGCGCGTGAATCCGTCGCCGTTGGCGATCGTTCTCGTTTCTTTATTTCGCTTTACTTTGCTTTACGGTTCTCGGTCGGCAGGGTAACCAGTGTTCGGTCGATGGGCATGTCCTGCTGTCTGCTCTCTCGCCGATGATCGTTTTTATTGCCGATTCACGGCACACAGGCGTTAACTGGCCGACGTAATCGTGGCCTATACCCCAAAGACATTCGTGCTTTATGGCTCGGTGGGATGTCCCATTTGCCGCGGCATCTCGGTAGGATGGCAAGGCCATCCTTAAAAAATTATATGTTTGCTGTCCTCCGACTCACCCACGAAAATAGGGTGTTGCTATCCCCCGGGCGTGGAGGGAGGTCACGTGATAACGTTGACGATGACGTTCAAAACGTTAACCCTAACGGTAACCCTCACTCCAACACCGCCAACACTAACTCTCACACTAAATATATATATATCGCCGCGCTATATATAGGCATTGTGATCCACAAAAATTAATCTATGGTGTGGGGACAGATATCATGATGCAAAAACCTTAACCCTAACCCTAACCCTAACCCTAACCCTAATCATAACCCTAATCCTAACCCTAACCTTAACCCTAACCCTAACCCTGACCCTAACCCTAATCCTAACACTATCCCAACACTAGTGCTGCCACGTTGCGGTCACCTCCCTCCACGCCCGGGGGATAGCATTACCCACGAAAATAGCCGCAACCCAAGTTTTCTTTGACATTTTGGTTCCATATTTTTTTATTTTTTTTTTATACATTTTTCATAGTTAAGAATGAAACACAAAGCATGTGTGGCAAACATGAGGACAGACTTAAAATAACTATTATGCCTCACAAAAAAAAAGAAAAAAGACCTACCTACCTACCCACTAAAAAAATCATGGACAGCAAACATAGAATTTTTTAAGGATGGCCCAAGGGATCATTATTTTTATTGCCGACTAACGTTGTTCTCTCTCTCTCTCGCTCTCGCGTCACAGGGGAGTCAACGCGAAGGCGATCAAGGACTCCGTGAAGAAGGCACTCGCGGCGATCAACCCGGCAGTGCGGCAGGCCGGCATCACGCTGCTCGGCGTCATGTACATGTACGTGGGGCCGCCGCTGCGCGTGCTGTTCGAGGACGAGAAAGCCGCGCTCCTCCAGCAGATCGACGCCGAGATCGAGAAGGTCCGCGACACGCCCGCGCCGCAGCCGACGCGCGGGGTCGCCGCGGCGAGGGCGGGGTCGGCGGCGGAGAGCGACGAGCGGGAGGAGGAGGACGAGGATGGCGGAGGCGAGGGAGGCATCGGCATCCAGGACATGGTGACGAGAAGCGACGTGAGGTAAGTGCGGCTGTGGTTTTTTCGACGACAAGAATTCTAGTACTACATGTACTACGCAGATTTGCGTGGATTTTTTTTAGGGTCACTTTGGCTAGTGGTTTTTTTTTTCGAGATCAACGAGGAGAATTCTTAGCAGGTCTGCGGAGGGTTTTTATGGGGCCATTTTGGCCGGTGGGGTTGTTTTCGAGGAGAGCGTGAATTAGTGGAGGTGATTGGAGTGTGAGAATTAAAAAGAATCTATAGGAAGATGGACTCGGTAGAGGATAGATGGCCAGCTATCGTAAGTAAAGGACACGTTTTTGCCAAAAATTTTGGGATAACAGATAAAGTGTGTGCTTTTACTTCGTTTTATTTCTAAATTGTCTCGTTTGTTTCTAATATTCTGTGGCGTTTTGTAAAGAACGTCTTTCGAAAGAGTCGTCTTCAGGATGCTTGAGGGTCTCGAATTCAGAATTTTATGCTGTCGGTTTAAACGTTTCCTCAGAGTAACTCCTTCTTGACCTTCTCGCTCTCTCTCGTGAATTTCAGTGCGCAGCTGACGCCAGTCCTGCTGGAACAGATGTCGGACAAGAACTGGAAGGTGAGGTGCGAGGCACTGAGTTCCCTGAAGCTCATCATTACTGAAGCCAAGTACATAACGGGAAACCTGGCAGAGCTGCCCAGCGCACTGAAACCTCGGCTCACCGAGTCCAACAAGATGCTGGTGGGTGTGCGTGCGTGCGTGCGTGCGTGTGTGTATGCTGCATGGTGGTGTGCGTGTGCAGACATGTGTACGTGCATCCGTGCGTGCGTGCATGCGTGTATGTGTGTGTGTGTGTGTGCGTGTGTGTGTGTGTGTGTGTGTGCGCGCATGCGTGTGTGGGTGCATGTATGCTGCATGGTGGTGTACGTGTGCAGAGGAGAGGTGTGTGCGTGTGTTTCTGTGCGTGTGTGCATGTGTGTGCGTGCGTGCGTGCGTGTGCGTGTGTGCATGCGTGCGTGTGTGCATGCATGCGTGTGTGCATGCGTGCGTGCGTGTGTGTGCATGCGTGCGTGTGTGTGCATGCGTGCGTGTGTGTGCATGCGTGCGTGTGTGTGCACTGGAATTTCTCTGACATAGTGGCCGATGTAGACGGCCGCTCTTGACGTAGCAGCATGATGCAACGACATTAATAAGCAGTACTCAGAATAGTATAGTGTTGATATTATTTTTTGGACATGATCCGTTTATTGTAGCATGTACCAATTACGGTGAAATGCACTTTAGCTCTCAGCATATATGATTATAATAGTCAAAAATCAATATAAGTAAAACTCCTATGCATGTGTAGCGGAAGCCTGGACCACATCTACGAGACCCAGATCCACTACACTACCTCATGTGGGTTCAGCAAGCTTGTCACTGAATGCCATTGAGCTATAACGTTAGCAATGAACTTAGTGGTGATGTCCTAATGGTTTAATTGTGTTCTTACAGCAAATGACAACGCTTGGCATAGTGCAAGCGATGGGTGGAGCTTTGGGACCACATTGCAAGCAGCATATCCGTACTGTTGGCCCCAGCATCATCACGTGCATGGGCGATGCGAAGGTATGGTGAGGCCGGAGGCAGTGTGTGTGCGTGCGTGCCGGTGCTACGTAGTTGTACGTGGCGCATGCTCATGGTGCACATCGTGAATTATGTGTGTGTTCTGCGGTTGTGGAGTCTGTTGCAGGACTTTGTGTGGAGAGGTGTGTGCGTGGCTGTGGGGTGCTACGTACTATGCATTATGTGCCATTTGTTAATGGCATAGCATGTTGTGGTTAGCATGGATTGTGTGTGCGTGCGCTCTTTCATGCGTATGTGTTCGTGTGCAGGTGCGTGTGTGTGCTGGCTAGTGCGTTATCAGCGTTATGTATGTGTGCAGTGCGTGGGCGTGTGTCTAGCATATATCGAATGTAAGTTCACGATATGACGTGTGTGCGATTGCAGCCCCAGGTGCGGCAGACCGCCGTAGCAACGCTGAACGCGTGGGTGGATCACACAGGCATCCTGCCACTCTTGGAGGGAGAGGGACTCACAGACCTCATCAAGACAGAAAACCCATTCCTGCGGTCTGAGGTAGGCAGCTCCACGGCGATGAACAGAGCACATATTACACGTCGAAAATTCACGCACAACTGTTGTTGTTGTTGTCTGAGTACTGAGTCGTAACGCCGTATGAGATGTGAGGATGGGATTTTCACGCCTTTGCGCTTTCTGTTTTATTTCACTTGTTACTATGAACCCTCTGTCCCCCTTTTCGAGACGTACACGAGCGTGTGTTTGGTTGTAGTTACCTCTCTCCTCCTTTCCCCCAGACGTACACGATCTTGTGGTTGATTGTAACTGCTCTCTCTTACTACCCCGCCAGGGAAAAAATTAAAATTTATTTTTCGGGGGCTACTTTTCAAGCTCGCGTGCATGAAAATAGCACTCTAAAATTTGGTTTGCATTGAACTCTATGCAAATTTCCAGGGGCTCTTTTTGGCATTTCCAGGGCTCTTTTTGGCATTTCCGTGGCTCTTTTTGACATTTCGGGGGCTAAATCGCCTCGAGCCCCCGTGTATTTTTCCCACTGTACCCCGCAGACGTACATGATCTTGCGCTTGCTTGCAGTTGTTAACGTGGCTGGCGCCGAAGCTTGAGGTGACGAAGAAGGTGCCGGCGGCGGACCTGCGTGAGTCGCTTCCCTACCTCTACACCTGCCTCGAGGACAGGAACGCCGACGTGCGCAAGGCAGCCAACGACACGCTCGTGCCCTTCATGATCCACGTCGGCTACCCCAGGATGACCGAGGCCGCGAGCAAACTAAAGGTACGCTTACTCAAGGACGCTGCTCAAGGTTCTCCTCAGTTCTTCAAGACGAAGAATCTCGCGAAGGGAGTGACGAAGGAGATCCTGCGTGACCTCGTGCACAACCTGATCACGATCCTGCTTGACAAGCGGCTCATGGACCTTGAGGACGGACCGCAGGTGATACGCAGCGTCAACGTGATGGTCGTCAAGATACTCGAGTACGCCGACACGACATGCATCATGGGGTGAGTAGCGGTGGCAGCCGCGCACTCTATCGCAGTCCCCATAGTCTCTAGTCCCTGTGGTACCACCCCTGCAGTCCTGCCCCTGCAGTCCTCCTTGCGATTTGTGAGGGGTGTCACGTTAGCAGTAGAAACTGTTGTCCTGCTGCCTTTTATTGTCTCCAACGGTTATGTGGTAGTCCGTGCCCGTGCTTGCGAGCGTGTCTGTGTAATGTGTGTTCGTACGCGACACCAACTTCCAAGCTGCGTATGGTATGAAACCACCACCTTTTCATGAGATCGGATGGTTTTCCCATTATTTAAGCATCACAACTGACAAGGGCACTGATAAGTACACCGTTTTAATCCGAGAGAGGTGTTTCACGATAGTGGCCAACTGATCTAAGATCTAGATGCGAGGGGAATTTTTCTCGTGCGTCAATAAAGAGGGAAGCGGGAGGGGCGCCTGTGACAGAGGGGAGGGTCACTCGTTTCGCGCACTGATGCCGCGTTGCCGTGGTTACAGCGCGCTGCTCAAGCTGCTGCAGGAGTGCATCGGCAACGACACGTGCTCCTCCAAGTTCACGGAACTCATCATGAAGTGCCTCTGGAAGATGATTCGCATGCTGCCCAACGTCATTAACACGGTACGAATGTTAGCTACGTGTGGTTGGGCAGAGGCCGGCCCGTCAGGTTGCGCTTGGTTGCAGAAATGTCGGCCACGGGTTAATTGGTCTGAGCTCGATTGCATCGAGAAGTGCGGTTCGGTTCGTGCGCACTGGGCCGTGGTTCGTAGGTTGTGTTTTTAAGTCTTGAAGTTAATTCTTGACTGTCGCTCAGAAGTTTATAATATACGTACAAGTGTACGTAGTTTGTTAGTACTAGTAGTACGTATGTTGCGGATTACGTAATGTGTTTTTTTTGTAGTAGAAACGTTAAATTCACCACATCAGGATAGGTTTACGATAGCGATCGATGGGTTAGCTTAGCTCGGATCCCCAAAGCAGCCAGTGTGTAGTTACCTCCGCCAAGGAGGTTATGTTTTCGCCCCTGTTTGTTTGTCTGTCAACAGGATATCTCACAAACGTTACGAACGGATTTCGATTGGACGGGTTTCATTTTTTGGACTGGTTGGGTTTGGGCCAACAACCAATCGATGAGATTTTGGTGGTGATCTGGATCCAGGATTTTTATTTTTTTTTTAATTTGTGGGGAAGATGCATTAAAAATTTATTTAAAAAAATCCTCGATCTTTCGATCATCTGCTATCTGCGATTGCTCTTGTTGTAAATGCTTCCTATTGCCTTGCAGCCGTCGTCCAGGACACAGGTTATGGGTATCTTGGAGAAGGCGAGAGAGAAGCTACCGGCCAAGGCTCCTCCGCCTCCAAAGAAGGCTGCGTCTTCGGCAAAGCTAAAGCTCGAAGAAGCGGCGCCGCCTCCCCACAAGTCAGCGTCGGCACCGATGCTGGAGACCATGGATCAGCAGGTAGGTTTACACTACTGCTGGTGGTGGTGGTTGCTGCTGGTGGTGGTGGTGGTAGTGGTGGTGGCTGGTGGCTGGCGGCTGCTGGTGGTGGTGGTGCTGCTGCTGCTGCTGCTGGTGTGGTGGTGTGCTGCTGCTGCTGCTGCTGGTTCTGCTGGTGCTGTTGGTGTCAGCATAGGTTGATATGCTGTCTCTCGCGCGGGTCACCAGCCGTAAGTACACTTGTGCCGTGTCCGTAACATTCCACAGTTTGCCTTTGACGCCAGTAAACATTAAGTAACGAACATGACGAATGTGAGATGTGTGATATTTTATTTGTAATCACTCGTTAATTAATATGCCAATTGAGCTGTTTTGATTTATTGCACGCAGGGGAAAAAATTCTTTTTTTTTCACCAGAGCCATTTTTCTGACTTGTCAAAAATTTACCAGACCTATTTTTTATGTATCCAAGGCCATTTTCATAGTTTCAAGTTTTCGAAAAATACGTAATATAATGTACTCTTATTT